GTATGCGTATGTGTGAGTGACAGTGTGTATGCGTATGTGTGAGTGACAGTGTGTGTGTGTGTTGTTTGCCACGGGCAGGGCCGACTGCAAGATCAACCTTTCTCGAAACATTGGTGGTGAGTGTGTGTGTTTTCTCGTGTGCATGTGCTTGCTTGCATGCACGCGTGTATTCATGCTTGCTCTTGATGTATTTACTTTGAATTTCTTTGCTATTCATTCCCACTTTAGTTGTGTGTTTTCGTAAAAATTTGTGGCAAAAATCTGAAAGCATTTTCATGCAAAATTTCTTGATATGGATAGTTTCCAGAATGACAGACGCATCGAAAAGTTTCCCCAACCATCACTTTAACCCTTTGAGCCCTTGCCACTGGTTCACCGGTGACGCTTAACTCTTTGAACCCGGAGTTTTTCCACCCTTTTCCCAGAGTTTTTTCCTACAGTCACCTAAACCTGGTGCACTGTGTCTCAGTATAACCCCGAAAGCTCGCCTCCAACTTCTAAATTGCGGAAACAAAAGCTTAGCCATTGCAAAAAAAAACTTGGTTTGGGAATAGTTCAGGAAAAGAAGCAAAAACTATCTCTAAATGAAATGAAACAGTTGTCTCGGGTATCGGATGCTCCCAGTCTGATTGGGAACAGGGTTATTACTGCCGGATGCTACCAGCATCCGATGGGGTTTAAAGAGTTAGAACTGCCTGTATCCCTAGCCACTGGTACCCCGGTGACACGTAAAACTGCCTGTATGCTTAGCCACACCGGTGACACGTAAAACTGCCTGTATGCTTAGCCACACCGGTGACACGTAAAACTGCCTGTATGCTTAGCCACCGGTACACCGATAACACATAAAACTGCCTGTATGCTTAGCCACCGGTACACCGATGACACATAAAACTGCCTGTATGCCTAGCCACCGGTACACCGATGACACATAAAACTGCCTGTATGCTTAGCCACCAGTACACCGATGACACATAAAACTGCCTGTATGCCTAGCCACCTGTACACCGATGACACGTAAAACTGCCTGTATGCCTAGCCACCTGTACACCGATGACACGTAAAACTGCCTGTATGCCTAGCCACCGGTACACCGGTGATGCTTAAGTAAAACTGCCTGTATGCCTAACCACCGGTACCCCGGTGACACGTAAAACTGCCTGTATGCCTAGCCACCTGTACCCCGGTGACACGTAAAATTGCCTGTATGCCTAGCCACCTGTACACCGGTGAGCAAGAACTTATCTCCAAACCGGCCCGCCTGGGACAAATCATGTTCAGGAAACCGTGTTTACAACACAGGATGTTACTGATTATTTTGAAGATCTTTCTGAATTAGATACTGGTAATGGCGAGGACTACCCTGAATGGGATATGGAATGTGATTCCGATGATCTTATGGATGCTGGTAATATATCGCTGAGGAGCTCAGGCAAGAGGGGCACGGTAGTCTCAGGAGGTCGGGGCTCAAAGGGTTAAGCATGGGGTCACCAAACCAATTCTCATGGACTAGATCTGGTCTGGGAGGGCGGTTTGTCTGGTCTGCCACCATGCCATCGTGCAGGGAGAGAAAAATTCAGAAGAATATGCTTTTATAGCATGCTGATTAGGACGGGTTCACCAAAATAATTTCATCATTTCATTGCACTGTACAGTGCGAATTAAATAAACGTTTATAAATTCTTGCTTGTTGGCTCTATTTTTTGTGTGTATTTTTTTTTGTTTGTGTGTTGATAAATCACTTGGTTGGTTGTCTTTATTTGTACATCAGTATTCTGTTGAACAAACTAATTCTCTGGCCTATGCTCGGCATTCTTTGTTATCGAGCCCACTTTTAAAAAAAGTTTGCTATCCCTTGATTTGAGCTGATTGAAGGGTTTAAGTTTTGTGACCTGAAAATGAAAAGTTTTTTTGTTTTTTTGAGGGAGGGGGGGGAACTGTGCTAGGATCCTAGAAAATTTTTTTGTCTTCCTGATGAGCACATTTCTATCTTTTTCAGGTTCGTGCGAGACCAAAGGGGTGCTACTGGGCAGTAATGCTGGGATCACCTCGGTGGAGTTCAGTCAAGACGTAAGTCTGTCATTGTCATTGTTATATGCAGACCACCTATCTTTATGTCCTACTGTGTAAGGAGACACGAGGTCCTGACTGGACAGGAAGGACATATGCCTCGAAAAACGAAGAAATTTTCCATAGGGCCAGACCACTGATATCCATAGTTAAGGGCTCTCAAAGGTCATAGGGGGCTGAGGGAATAAAAATGATAATAATGCCTCGCAATATCCATCAGCCTTGACCCTCAAGCCCACTGTACGTAATACAAATAGATAACATTTGTATATCGCAAGTTCCCGCTCAACAGCAAGCTCTGTGCATTTTACAATCTAAATTATTACCCCAACAGACTTGATAGCATTCTGAAACAATGTCAGCTTCTTGGGAGCATACAGTTCAAACTTCCATTTTGTGGGTGGTTGGCGGGTGCTCTGGTGTGGTTTGCTTCTTCTTTCCTGTCAAACATCTATCGTCCTTATCTCCCCTTCTTTTTTATGTTTGTTACTCTCTTGTAACACGTCTAATCTTCTGGCGCTCATATGACCTTATGCAGTTGCGAGCGCCGTAAGAACTAATACTAAACTAAAACTTCCATTTTAAAGGAGTTGAAACAGTAACATAGGAAATGTTAATGTGCAAAAAAGTGCCCCTACATTGACTGATTAGTTTTAAGACTCCGGCATAATATGTTGTTTTGAAAAGTGACGTATGTCTGAGTCTTACTCTGAACTATCAATATGTGTTTACTTTTTCAATGCCATATTATTAGTGACATCAGTAGCCTAGTGATGAGACTACCGGACTTGTAATCCTGAGATTGCGGGTTCGGGGGTTGGAGCTGTAGCTCGGTCTGACATTGTGTCCTTGGGAAAGGTACTTTACACGAATTTCCCACTTCGCTCCGTCTTTTCGGAGATGAATGTTAAACTCGGAGGTCCTGCGTCTTAAAAAACCTAACAGTGTGGGTAGGGGCGTTAAACCTCTTAAATAACCTAACAGTGTGGGTAGGGGCGTTAAACCTAGGAGACCATTTCACTATTTTTTATGCCGTATTCTGTTTGGACTTGCAAGGTTTTGGTTTATTTTTATGTGCATCTCTTTTAACTCCAACTCTCTCTCTCTCTCTCTCTCTTTCTCTCCTTCACAGGATTCTCAGATTGTGGGTGCTTCAAACGACTTTGCCTGCCGAGTGTGGGCGATCGGGACGCAGAGGTTGCAGGTATTGCACACTTATCTCCTCCTGGTTTTGGTTCTTTAAATTTTGTTTTTGTTTGTTTTGTTGGGGTTGTTGTTTTTTTTTTGGGGGGGGGGGGGGTTGTTTGCTTGTTTTTTCTGTTTGTAAATGGCCTGCTTAGTGTAAGACTCCAGTATACGTCATTTTGAAAAGTGATGTGGGACGGAGTATTGCAGTGGGTGGTTGGCGGGTGCTCTGGTGTGGTTTGCTCCTTCTTTCCTATCAAACATCTATCGTCCTGATCTCCCCTCCTTTTTTATGTTTGTTGCTCTCTTGTAACACCTCTAATCTTCGGCACTTATATGACCTTCTTGTGTTGCAAGTACCGTAAAACCCTTACTAAAACTAAAGGAGTATTGCACTGAAAAATTATTATAATATGTTGGATCACTTTGATAGGTAAACCTGGGTGTGGTTGCTAAGGGAACTCTTTAAGAATTTCATGGAAGGAAAAAACCCCCCCAATGAGGTAGTGTTGAAAGAAACCGGGGTGGGATGGACAGTAATAGAAACAGTTAGGAAAAGGCAGATACACAGGCTTGCCAACTGTCCCAAAGTTCAAATTTCCTGATTCAGGTCATTTTGAGGATAAATCTCTTAGTAATTAACCTCTCTGGTGTAATGGTAATGCTCTTTGTTGTTATTGGGTGTAAATTTCATTCTTTGGGGGGTAAAATTTAAAATCTCCCACACAGTAGTCTGCCTGCACTCAAAACAGACTCTCATAATATAAATTAATTGATTATTGTAAACAATAATTGTGTTTAAGCTAGACACATATTCGGTTTTCGTTGTTAGTCGCAACACTTGAGGTTTGCTTCTGGAAAAACATAAACTGTCCTGAAACCAACTCTTTGTCTCGTTTACAAAACGCTTTTTTTTTTTCCCAGTTGACCTTGACGGGCCACAGCGGCAAGGTGTTGTCTGCCAAATTCCTGGGAGACAGTAAAGTTGTGTCTGGCAGTTACGACCGAACGCTCAAAGTTTGGGATCTCAACAGCCGATCTTGTGAGTTCGTCAGGGACAGATGTTATGACAATTTTTCCTGTATTAATGTTTTCTTTTTTACGATTTATTTTGGATGTCATTTGGGGGAGACAAATCTCTCAGTTGAGTTCTCTGATTAATTTTGATGTGACTGAACCCTCACAGTTTGGGATTTTAACAGCCGATCTTGTGAGTACTCCTGGGATAGATGTTCTTACGATTCTTATGAATTAAGGATTATTTTTACGGGGGGGGGGGGAGGGGGGGGGAGGAAAATCTCTCAGTTGGGTTCTCTTATTGATTTTGACATTACTAAACCCTCGCAGTTTGGGGATTTGACTAGAGGTGTTTGTGGTTGCAGAAAGGACTGTAGTTATTACGATTCCTTAGGTCAGTACATGGTCACTCTATATATAACAACACTAAATGGGTCAGCTTAGAATCTCTAGTTGGTGGGTGGTTGGCGGGTGTTCTGGTGTGGTTTGCTCCTTCTTTCCTATCAAACAGCTATCTTCTTATCTCCCCTCCTTCTTTTTTGTGTTTGTTACTCTCTTGTAACACCTCTAATCTTCGGCACTTATATGACCTTATTGTGTTGCAAGTGCCGTAAAACTCTTACTAAAACTTTAAAAAATAAACCAATCTGTTGTTATGACAAAAAAGTGTACCAGAAACTGCATTGATCACTTCCTAAAAACAATAAAGAAGAGACTGATCCGGTTTTTGGGACACTTGAATCGAAATTAAGACCTTGATCATCAGCTCTTCCTGGTAAAATTCAAGGCAAACGAGGCAGGGCAACTTCATCAGAGAGCCTGAACGGATGAGTGGTAGGGAAAGACCAGGATAACGTAGTAGTGCTTTGGATGATGGTAGGAAAGAAATTGTTACCCAAGTCAGGACATATTTGAAAAAGCTCCAAAAATTTTTGTTAAGTAACATAGATATTATAAATTTTGTGAAAACTGGTAAGTTACTTAGAAATTATAAATTTTATGAAAACTGATAAGTTACATAGAAATTAGAAATTTTCTGAAAACTGATAAGTTACTTAGAAATTATACATTTTATGGAAACTGATAAGTTACATGGAAATTATAAATTTTCTGAAAACTGATAAGTTACATAGAAATTATAAATTTTATGAAAACTGATAAGTTACTTAGAAATTATACTTTTTATGAAAACTGATAAGTTACATAGAAATTATAAATTTTCTGAAAACTGATAAGTTACATAGAAATTATAAATTTTCTGAAAATTATACATTTTGTGAAAACATAAGTTACATAGAAATTATACATTTTATGAAAACTGATAAGTTACATAGAAACTATTGAGGCCTATTGGTGGTATGAAACTCAATGTTGTGTAATACATCATATGTGAAGCGTGCTGACAAATGAGTTACTTCTCGGATTCAAGCCTTAAGGAAATAGATACATTACGCTTTTTATAGATGAAGTTTTTACTATTTACAAGTATGAAATAATAAAAGACAGGTTACGGTTAAAGAATATGGCATCGATAGAAAGTCTACAAAATAACCCTAATGTCGACTTTTGGCCAATATCTCCATTTGTTGATTGCGAGAAGTGACTCATTTTGTCAGCACGCCTAATATTTTATAATTTAAAAAAAACTGGTGGGGGCTTTCTTTGGTGTTTATCGTTCTTTCATTGTTACTTCTTTTTATATAAAGTTTCAAGTCATGATTCACTCTCTCTATGTTGTTTCGGTGCATGGGTCTTACTTTTATACGTGCTGACTGACCATTAGTTTGTCGACATGTTTATCTTCACTCACAAATAAGTGAGTGGTAGAAGGGTACCACTGATAGGTCCTACTTCTTTTCTTTCCATCTGTTTGTCTGTCTTAGTGACTTGCTTTTCCCCTGCACAGAATGACTGATATTGTCTCCATGTGCTTCTCTTTACTTTAACAAACAAACAGACAAACTGAAAAATACATTTTTTCTGTCGTTGTATTGCAAAGGGTTTGTGCTGTTGAAGCTAGAGAGGTGAGCAGAGTAAGTCTGATTCCCTGTAAGCTCTTCTCTGTTGACATCCACCCCTTGGCGCTCATATGACCTTATGCAGTTGCGAGCGCTGTAAAACCTTAACTAAAACTAAAACAAAATGACCAGTATTGTGTCGATGGGCTTTTCTTTACTCAACCAAACAAACAAACTCAAAAATAAATTTTTACTGTTGTTGTATTGCATAGGGTTTGCAACAGAAGTTTCTGATTTTTGCAAAACCTGTCTCTCTCCGGACAGGCAGCAAAACGATATTTGCAGGCAGCAGTTGTAACGACCTTGTCACGCTACACGGGACCAGCATCATCAGCGGCCATTTTGACAAGCGGGTTCGGTTCTGGGACACGCGCGGCGCAGACACCAGCATCAATGAAATCCTCCTGGAGGGTCGACTCACGTCTTTATGCTTGGCTCCAGGTATGTCGCAGGCCTTTAACTCTTCATCTCCGAAATCCCGCGGGGCGGTGCTACTGACTGAAGTGTCTTTAGGCCATTCCCAAAGGGGGGTAAACCTGCATGTTTGCCGACAATCGTCTGAAATCCGACAATCGCGACCCGACCCGCGAACCGGCCGATGCTATCGCCAGGCCCGCCTGTATCAGTCAATGCAGTCAATGTGCGTAGTGCAAGGCCTGGCAGACTGCCAGCGACCCCTTTTTCTACCGTCGGCTTCGTCGGCACTTTCGACATAGTGCCGACCGCCGACGCGCGCACCGCCGACTGCCGACGTCGGCGTTTCCGACATAATTGTCGGAACCTAAGTAGAACGGCCATTTTGAATTTCGTTTGTTGACCAATTCAATTTTCAGATCGTGTGGATTCATTCAAGTCCGACTCTCGTTTGTTGACTAATTCAATTGTTCAGATCGTGTGGATTCATTCAAGTCCGACTCTCTTGTTCTAATAGAATATAGATCTAGAATCTAGATTTATATAGATCTAGATCATTATAGACCTCAATGGAGGATTCATATTCCAATTCTATTGTGTCAAACCCTATCATAGGTTGTGCTGTAATATTAATATTGGTAAAAATAATAAATAAGCATTAATTTCATCAGGTGCGTGAATTATTTATTTATTTAGATCTATATATCTAGATCTAGATATAGAATCTAAATCTAGATCTAGAATCTAGACTCAGCTGAGTCCCTCTGTTCGGATTCGGATGCGGATTTCTAGTTCAAGGCCTATTCCTATTCACTTGTTCTACAAGATCTAGATCTAGATTTATTTAGATTACTAGATCTATTCTAGAGAGCTAGATATCTATATGGAGGATTCATTATATTCCAATTCTATTGTGTTATTGTATCAAACCCTATAGCAATGTAGATGTAAGCCATTATAGATCTCTAGATTTAGATCTATATGCTCCTTGTTTTTTTTGGAGTGGTTTTTTAATTTTAATTTTTTTTTTCCATTTAGGACTTGTTTTGGCCTTTTTACATGAGGCCCGTTGCAGGTTCTTTTTGGGGGTAGGGTTAGGGTTAGGTCTCTTCTTTATTGTGTTTATAAGGGTTTTCGCTCGTTACTCGGATGTCCTTCCTTATGACACCCACAAAGGCTCTTTTTTTTGGGGGGGGGGGTTGCGCAAAATTTTCAGACAATCTGGTTGAGGCTCACATGCAGGTCTAGGGGGGACAGTAACCACGTTCTTATGCCCAGTAGAATTGTAAATCGTAAATGGGCTGATTCATTTATGTCATGCTTATAACTGCCTGAACTACAACAGGGAACTGCTGCTTTTTCTTTCTTAATCCTGACTATCGTCATTTTCCTCTACTTCTTTTGTATGTTTGTCACACTTTTGTGACCTGCTGTTTCCGGGGTGCCTTGACAGTCGAAGCAGACTTTGTGCTGTTGAACCTAGAGGGGTGAGCAGAGTAAGTCTGATTCCATGTAAGGATTTCTCTGTTGACATCCACCCCTTGGCGCTCATATGACCTAGTGCAGTTGCGAGCGCCGTAAAACCTCTAGTAAAACAAAGCATTTATATCCAAGGGGGGGGGGGGGGGGGGGTAAACCCACTATGCCAGGGCCCTTTTTTGGTACTAAATTTTAAAAATGACCAAAATGCCTCTAAATTGGTCATTAAATCAAAACAAGTGAACCTATTTTGGTAGTTGTTCATCTAATGAATGAACTCCCGATAAATGAGACCTGTTATCGGCAATTGACGAAAAGTAATTTGATGTTGAAGTGGCCGCAAAGGAAAGTACCCGAGCCGCTGTCATCGATTCGTCGGCACAGCAGTACGGACCATGAGCTGCTGGGAGCGGCTTGCCGGAGAAATACAGTTAAGATGTGATGCTATGTGCTAAATCTTTCTTGACATCCCAAATTAATCCCTTTTTATTTCTGAATGTATTCTTATTCAATTTCCTTCAGTTTGATATATAGCTTGTTACATTTGGAGCGATGGCTTGGCATATATGAAGTCCTTTTATACCTCACCTGTATAGGCAAATGAAGCCAAAAAGTAATTGCTTCTAGACACCAGAAACACTTCGTCTGGAAAGAATTGAACCATTAAAACACCGAAAGAGGCTGGATTACAATTACATGAGAACGTTGTTGTTGTTTTTCCAAGTGTATAAAAACCTCAGATTTCTGGTGTTGGGGTTTTATATTGCCTTTTTGTGATATTCCCCGTTCAGATTTCAGGTCCTTCTTTACTTTCCGTCTGCTGTTTCTGTCCGTCTGTCTGTCTGTCTGTCTGTCTGTCTGTCTGTCTGTCTGTCTGTCTGTCTGTCCGTCTGTCTGTCCGTCTGTCTGTCTGTCCTACTTTTTCCCAGCACTAAATGACTCGTTATTGGGCCCTTGTATTTTGTGCAAACGTCTGAGCTACTGTGTGGATGGTTGGCGGGTGCTCTGGTGTGGCTTGCTTTTTCTTTCCTTTCAAACATCTATCGTCCGTATCTCCCCTCCTTCTTTTTTGTGTTTGTTACTCTCTTGTAACACCTCTAATCTTCGGCACTTTTTTGACCTTATTGTGTTGCAAGTGCCGTAAAATTCTTACTAACACTAGACTGAGCTACAGTGGTTAAGCTGTTTGCAATCGCAGGTAGAGGATGTTAGTAATCATGTTGTTTTTGCTATTTATTTATTTATTTGTCTATTTATTAATTTATTTATCTATTTTATTATTTATTTATATTAATTAATTAATTAAATTAATTGTTTTGTTTGTTTCTCAGATAGGACCCAGTTGTTGTGTTGTTTGAAGGAGATTGGACTAAAGGTCATCGACCTCCGGATGAACCAGGTGTCTCATACTCTGACGTAAGTCTGAACCAAGGGGACAGGAAAGGGGAGAGGAGAGGGGGTGGGATTGTTGAAATTGAGGGGGTGGGGGGTGTTGTATAGATTGTAGATTGTTTTTTTTTTTTTTACTTTTGTAGTGGCTGGATTCTGTAACTGCTTTAGTCTTCAAGGTTTTTTGTTCTGTTTTTTTATATAAAAAATTGTGTTAAAAGAATTTTTTTTGTTCATAGCATTTGTTGTTGTTGCTGTCTCCTTTTCTAGTTGTTAAGTTGGGCTACTAAATGGGTGGTTGGCGGGTGCTCTGGTGTGGTTTGCTCCTTCTTTCCTATCAAACATCTATCGTCCTTATCTCCCCTTCTTCTTTTTTATGTTTGTTACTCTCTTGTAACAGCTCTATTCTTCTGG